TATGGAGTAAAGTCCTGAATGGATAGCTTAAAAATAATTTTAGCATTATTCCATTATAAGTCTCTAGAACAAAATTTCTATATTTCAATTGCAAATTATTTGCAGCAAAATATTTTAATTAATCTGTATATTGTTATTCTAAACCAAGAAATAAACACTTTTGTTGTAACTAAAGCTAAATATAAAATCATACAAAATTATGAAATATGATATTCAAAAGTATTTAATAAATTAAGAATGCAGTTTACATACAGAAATAAATCTTACTTGAAATAAAACTATCATTTTTGATTATAAATTCAAATTATGTTATCAATATTGTTTCTGATTATACTATATCTTTATAGTACTTCTATTAAATTATAATAACAAAAACTATTAATATTTTAGCTTATAAAGCTAAATATTTTAACTTCTATTTCATTTATTAAAACTGCTTCATATTATACTCTAAAAGCATAGTTAATTATTCATTGTTATAAATGAATGAAAAATATTTAAATTCCATTTAAATAATGTAAGTAAGAAAAATAAAAGTAGAAACACAGTTACTCTATGCATGTTAAAAATAAAAAATTTAAATTTGCAAATTTAATATAAAAGGTATTAGAAAGTAGTTAATGTTATCAAAGATTTTCAATATTAAAAATTCTATAAAATTCTTAATGCTATCCATCACAGTACAAACTTCTAATCTCTTCACTGCACCTTGGTCTTCTTTCGAAAGACTATATTAAACTCCAATTGGAGGTTATGATTGCCAGAAATTACTGGCATTAAGCCTACTCAACCAAAAAACTATCACAAATGGGCCGAAGAAACTAAGGCGCATTAGTGGTATGCAGCATCAAACTGCATCATACTGCTCTGAAAGTGCTTTGATTCGGCATTGGTCTGATTGACCTCATAAGCACCATCTTGGAATACTCTTGATTTGTTCTCCAGAGTTACTGTAGCTGCACCTTCTTCCATAGAGATTCTGGGCGCAGAAAAGGGTTTAACGTTATCTGTTTGTTGTGCCTGGATTTGTAGATGAGTTTGCGCTCCAGTCTGTTGTTGCGCTTTAGGCTGTTGCTGTTGATAGATTTCTTCCTGACGATGTCTGTCTGCCACGCTGAGCTCATGGAAGCTGACCAGGTGGCGCTTCAGGTAGAGCTTGGTCTTGAATGGCTTGTTACAGAGGGGGCATGTGACACTCTGAGGGTTGTGGATCAGGCGCATGTGCTGACGCAGGTTCGACAAGTTACTGTACATGCGGTTGCAGACAGGACAGGGGCGTGGGTCCAGCGAGTGCAGTTTGCGTAGGTCAGCTGCAACACACACACAACTTGCTCTAACCCGGTAGAGGCAGCACGGAGAAGGGAGTTAATTCTTTTGTTTTGTTTTATTGAATGGATTTATGGGTGGGGTCTCCGATTTGCCAGCCACCACCGGACAGCAACAACCAGCTAAGAAACCCTAGCCGCACGACTATTATATGCTCTACCTAATTTAGCAATGGGATCACTTTCAAAATATTAAATTAAATTACTACTATATTCAGTCTTTTAAACAACTTTATACAATTTCCTTTACTTTAGTTACATAATTTCATATTTACGCCTTAAAACCTTCTCAAAAAAATAAAAACATTTTGATGAATAGCAGTTTCATAATAAACCAATATAATTTTATTTTAAACACTAATGTATTTAAATTGCAACATTTACTACATTGCTTCTGTCTTTGATTAAATGAATTAAATAATTTTTAAATGTGCTTTATAAATTTTGTTCATAAATAATAAAACTTTTTTACAACTTTAACCTAAAGTAATACTTCATTAACAAATAAAAACAATAGTTTTCAACTTATCATGATTTTTCAATGTAATATTTATCAAATAAACAAAAGTTGACTTATTTCATAAACAATATTGTTTGATCCCATTACTACCTGTCGTGCGTACAACGATATAGCGCGTTTATTAACGCGCACACATCGGAGACAAATGGTAAGCGTGTGTTATTGGGACATGAGGCGTGAGAGCTCGCGCTGCATTCTCCGAGATTATTATACAATTGTTTTTTGACAATAACACCCTTTTACGGTTATAAATTTTCGCTTGAAACATATAAATTTTATTAATTTAAAATCTTATACAGATATCATTGGTAAAGTAATATCAATAAATAAATACAAATAATTTTTGTAATTATATCGTATAAAATACTTATTCTGTTTTGTTTGTTCTATAATCCTTATTACAAATAATTTTAATTAAACTTTATAATAATAAAAATAAATAATATTTAATTATTTAAATTGTTATAGTTTATCTAAATTAAAATAAAAGATAGGGAATATATTATCATATATTAAGAATTTATACTAGCATATCAAAATCAATAATAACTGAACTCTGACAATTAAAACTTTATATTATTGATTATTTTATACACCTTATATTGCCACATGATATGATTAGTGAAGCCAAAAATATTAATTCTTTTTTTTTTTTAATTACAACACCGTAATTAAACACTGACCTTAACCAAAAAGCTTACATCAAAATTTAGCATCAAGCAACGGTTTGCTATATATTTCGAGTTAGGGTGTTCTGCCATAGGATACATATGAGTACACAGAAAAACAACGCCAATTAGATAAAATATAAAAAAATTATTATAAAAAATAATATAAACTGATTGCAAATTAAAATAAATAATTTTAACAATTTTTTAATATTAATATTTGATTAAATAATATACTTTGAATTAACAAAACTTAAAAGAATTTTAAGTAAATAAAAATCATAAATTAAAATTGTCTTGTATTTCCAATTGGCGTAGCTTCAAAAGGACAATAACGGAAAACGTAGAAGCAACGGACAGGCAATTTTACCAGACGGAGGGATTTGTTTTTCCAAATATAAATATTACTCCTTTTTCCCTCATTTTCTCCATTTTCGTTATTTGAGTTTATAAAAATGATAAATAATCTTAGGAGAACTTTTAGTTAAAAAAATTTGATCGGAAATAACTATTAATCTATAAATATTTCATAAAAAAATATATAATTCATAAGTAAAACAAAAAATAACATAAGCTGTCCAAAATTCTCTCTCTAAAAATTAGTCCACGCAAAATTTACTATAATCTTTTAATATCACCTCCAACTCTGGCAAACAGTATAAACAGGTAGAGAGCCCGAGTATGTACACGCAGCTGACTTTCTCACACAACAGCCGCAAACTGCACTCCCCTGGATAAAATCAGAAAATCGCCTCCGAGTGTCAGATGTCTCTTCTTTTCCATTCTCTCTCCCTCTCCCTCACTCATCTACACATTCGTCATACTGTCTTTCTCACA